AGTGTGGTCTTGTGGTAAAGCGCCAGACTCGTAACTCCGAGGAACCGGGTTCGAGTCCAACCTGATCACAGGAATTTTTATATTCCAAACTGCACTCCCCCGCACGAGTGAGGCTCGTGCGGAGAAAACTGGGCTATCTTTCGGAGGAGATATTAAATTTGAAATTGCATTTATCTAAAATCTAAATCGAAAATACGAGAACTCACATTTCGGCGGTGAACTGCTATTGGCCCCAATATGTGAGTCCTCGTTTTTTCGAGTTAGATTTTGGATAGATGCTAAACGATGCACTGCGGCCGCAGTGGAAAGCTACGAGCAACAAAACAAAGATATATACATAGAAGAACTTGAAGTGCTCCGAACTCACAATCAGGTACAAATCTTTCGCGTGCCTGGAATACAAAATTCACAGGAGGCGATAATTTCGGAGCAGGCTCTCAGCAAATAACAAATGTAATTGTATTCCAGGCACGCGAAAGATTTCCATCCGATCGCGAGTTCGGCACTTCAAGTTCTTCTATTTGACATAAAGTTTCCTAAAACAGTGTCAAATTACATTTTTTAAATGTTTTATTTTTACGTGATTAACAAAGAAATAATGTTCTATATTTGTAAGAGTTCGTTTGGATCGTACATATCAGTAGCAATATTATTGACCCAAAACTCCCAAGCTCCCCAAGCTTGACGACCAATTTCAAATTAAATCTTTAATAAATATGTATAAAGAGGATAAGCATTATTCAGCAAGAAAGTATGCGCTTCTTCATTTAGAAATATTACATGTCCTCTCTGGTGCCACATAGTGGTTGCGTTCGGAAACGTCACCCAAGTGTACACGAGTATACTCCCTTCCCTTTCTATCTCAGCGAGTTAGAAAGAGAAGGGATTATATCCGCGTGTACTCGGGTGACGTTTCCAAACGCAGCCAGTGCAGCTACGAGAGACGAGAAGGGTCTTTTACACTTTTATCTGCGCGGAATCGCTTCGCAAAGTATGGAGTCCATGGGGATGTCCCGAGTGACTCGGTATTTTACCGGTTATAATCTCGCGATTTAAAAGGAAGTTACACTCGCCTGTTCTGACACTTCTTTCTTTTGCTGTTCTTTCGTTCTTTATAGAAGCGAGAGGGGTGGGGAACGTACGGAAGGATGTATATCGTGCTCGACGACGAGGACATCGTGCCGAGGCACTTCGCCGTGTGCGACTTTTACGGCGTGGAGACGTGTTTCTGCTGGGACGACGACAGGCTCGTCATCTTCCCCTACGTGAATAACGAATCGACCGAGGCGACGCGGGACGCCCTGATCCTGGTGACGCCGGCCCCGGTGAAAAAGGTACAGTTCTTCGACAGCAGGGCCTTCCTGATATGCACCCCGCAGGGCGCCTACAAGGTATCGCAGTCCGGCAAGTTCGCCCTCCTGAGCAAGACCGCCCTGGACATGGGCAGTGATTACTTCCAGGTGCTCGTCGCTTGGAGCAACAGCGTCCACCTCGACGACAAGCGGAACAAGTCGTCCGCGCTGCTGTTTTCCCTCGTGCCGAACGCGAGCGAGACGGTGTGCACGTTCCCTCTGAACCCGACGAGCACCGAGCCACAGCTCGTCAACTGTTTCGCTGCTGGCTGGGAGGGTAATCTGTGCGTCGTCGCGCACGACAGGAAGCTGTACGCGCTGAGGGTGATCCCTCCCGATGATGAAAACCCCCCCCTCATCTCTCCCGTCGCCGTGCAGCTGGTTTACACCAGTGACATCGCTATCGTGGACATCCTGCCTGTGAAGAGGCGAGACAAGGTGACGGGACTGCTGCTTCTCACGAAACACGCGAACGCGGTAATTCTGGTGCACGGTAAAGACGATAAACTGGTATTCGAGAGAATAAACCTTGGGGAAAACGTGAGGCACAGAGTGGCACTATGCGCCAGTTTCAGTTTGTGCATGGAGAACGTTGTGTGGCTGGTGTACTGTGATCGGTCCAGGACGTATTACTTAAGAAAGGAGCTCTTCGTCGACGCGATTCAAGACGTTAGAGTGGAGGAAAGGGCATTTACATGTGTGCAGTATTACAAGCCAAATATAATTTTAGGTATGTCGCAGAGGAAGGAATTAGTGGAGCTCTCTCTCGAGGAGCTGGAGGACTCCTTGCCAATCAGTGATAATATACCTCTTCATACTGGAATGTTTGAAAGAACAGACATTATTATGGAGAAAATTTGTGCCAAAGTGAAGGAGCTGAATACACTCTATGAGAGTTTGACGGATGAACAAGACAAGTTGAAGAGAATAAATCTGTACGCTGCCAAGCAAAAATTGCAAATAAGTCCTACCATTGAAGTGTCCAGGCTGTGCAAGCATCGCTATCTTGGTTTAAGTATACCGGACAGGTTGCCTAAAAACAGTTACGTGGTGTTTAGCTTTACTTCTAAAAATCAAAACACATTCTATATAAAGAAAGTCACGGAAACGTCACTCACGATAAAAATGCCCATCAATGAAAATCGGATATTACCATGTTCTTCGTCCATGAACATGGATTTGATCACATTGATGAATGAACAACGTCCATGGTGCCTTATACAAGATTTTATAAGCTCTCCGCCGCAGGATCTTAAGAAGAAAAGAGGGCCGAAGAAAGCCAAGACTGCCTTTATAGATGCTAAAATAGCGTTGCTGCAACGCTTAATTTCGGAGAAAAGAGAATTGAGTATGACAAAATTACGTGAAATAAAAAACAATGTACGCGCAGAATTATAATTTTGCAGATATAATGGTAGAACTTTATGAATTTTCTATATATATTTATGTGCAAGTTTAAAATATGAAATGTTCAGATATATAAGTTCTACTCATTTTCTATTGCTATATTGAAGAACTGGCAATCTAGTCCCAGTAATTAGAATAGAATTTTAAAGCTATATTTTATTATTCTATCAATTTGATATAATAGTATTAATTCTCATGTGATAAAGATTTTTTATTTTGTTTACCACTTCCATGTTTTATACATGTATATCTTTTACAATACGCCTAAGCATTCTACACTTCTACGTCCTTTCATATTGTCTTCTAAAAAAAACGAAGATTTTGTATATGCAGCATCTATATTTATATAATCACATAATTATAATATAGAAGGTACAGGAGATTGAGAAATTTTATAATGTAATCCTTGTACAAAATAATGCGGAAAATGGACGTGAAGAGAGACTTAGGCAAATGATGAGTTATGACATATATATCTAATTTATAGACACTTTATAAAGATAATATAATCTATAAGGAAGAACATATTTATTGTGATAAATATTCTTTCATATAAAACTGTCACACGTCAGATCGGCTCTCTTTGTTACTGAAATTTTCGATTATCGAAATTACATTTGTCTACGAAGAATTGTTCTTTCGCCTCATAACTTTCGCCAGCTTTGATACTTCCGGAGTATATTACGTACGTAAATGTACTTAATCTTTAGTCTCCTAGTAATTGGAGGCAATAATTTTCATGCTTTATTTGGAAACGAATACAAGTATGCTAAGCGAGGGACCAACGATCGTAACATACTAAACATATGGCAGTAAGTATAAACTTACTAAATAATGATTGTAAAATCATTACTTAAAAATGATAGACATGACAAGTCTCAATAAATATATATGTGAAATGAGGAGCATACATATTAACACGACATTCATTATATTATATATACTGTGTAAATCATCTCTGTAAAAAATGTCACGTTTATATTTATCTTCCACGCTGTAACTTCATCTATATAACAGTTTATTGTATCTAGATCTATTATCCGCAATATGTTTTTTTTTCTTTTATCAGGTGTAATATATTTCTTCTCTACACATAATATTTCCGTTTAGACTCAGTACAAAATATTACCCCGTTCTTGTTATTGATTTCCTTTTTTTGTAAGTACTTCGAACAATAAACTACGGAGAACAATGTCAGGTAACCATTTCCTAGCTCGATACATTCTACAGAATCCAAAACCAGATGTTACGCTTTGTAAAATATTTTAATATAGAGGTAATCCGCGATTAGCAGACGTGCAGATCATGCAGACATGGTTTAAGTTGGACTTCCGTCAACTTTTTAAATTTTACTTTATTTCTGCTGTGTATTTCAGGTCTGCTAATGTAGAATTATCTCGTGTAGATACATAGAAAGGCTCGCTTTTCATCGCTTTATGCCTAATAATTACAGTGTAGTTGTATATCGCATTGATGCGTTCAATGTATATTTTAAGTACTCGATTAACAACAGTATAAATTATATTGTACATTCGCCTCATGTGTCTTATAAAACAGAGAACAACAGTTTATGGAAATTAGATTCCTGAAAAAGTATTAACAATATTACGGAGTGAAAAAGAAGTTTCACGATATAACTATAGGCATTCATTCCTAAAATTATGACATATAAAGACAATTCTATAATAAAAGACAACTTTTATATATATTTTAGATTTCACACACTCCAAATGTACTAAAAAGAGTATACTATAAGTACTAGAAAAATTCTATTCTTAGAGTAAACAATTCTTTTTCTTTAGCAAACATTTAATCTCTTTCATTTTCATATAATAAAATATTACTTCAAGATAATAAATCAATCAGTCGTCACAAATTCACAAATTAAGTACCTAATAGATAAAGCTTACTAGGAGAGGACTAAATCCTGTTTCCTATTTACATTTGTATCATACATATATAATTTTCGTAGTTTAATTACAATATTACATACCGATTTGCTAATCGGAACGATTAAATTGTTGCTAAGGAAAGATGAAATGCAAATCAAGCAAAGAAAAAAAAACTTTTGCTTTGTTTCTTAATCTTAACGGTAAGAAAAACAGTACATGTCTCCTGCGCTTATCTTAACATCGTTTCATTAGAATAATGAATGCAAGAAGAAGTGATATAAGTACGTGACTGCGCCAGTTACGACAAGAATGTAACTTATGTGTCGATAAAACTTCAGTTTCTTAAAAGAAAGAGGCGGAAAGGAATACTCTCTAGTAAAAAAAAAAATAAAAAAAAAATCGTTTAAGCACACAACGATAATATATAGAGAATTTAAGGCACATAATAAAAGTACAAGTAATTATATTAATTATGTACCAAGTCATTTCCTCGCCGCTACTTACTAATTGGGCCATTTTAAACTATCGTATACGTTTAGATTCGCATACAACTGAAAAAAATAAAGATGTAACTAAAATCTCAGATTTTCGGGAAAGTGACCTTTGAGTAACGTACACTAAACCTTCTTCAAACCTTTTTTTCGTTCCATTTGTACTGTTTTCTAACATATATGTATATGTAGTGATAGTATGGATATATCGACCGGCCGACTTCATATATTTCATTTTTGTTCTATAACGAATCTTTCGTACTAAAATATATTCAAAATAATGTCAAGGCATTATTGCAGCGTTGTTTCTATCACTTTTTTCTCAATTAGCTAAAAACTGTACCCGCAATGCCGTTCGTTTTACTCGCATTGAAACAATCGTAACATGGTATCGTGACAGAACATTGCATACGATACGTACTCTGTGAAACCTAGAAATTCACAAAAAGGGAAAAAAAAAGTAGAAAAATCGTTGATATACGCACTCGTAAAATGGAAAAAAAACTTTTTTTCGTTTCAAGACAAAAAGCATGTTACTAAATAAGTTTTAATTCTCTTACTCTTTTTCTCGTGCATAATTAGATAAGCTTTAAACGGATAGTCTTTAATCTTAGTACATCTTGACTTTATCATCTATGAAATGCTATTAACAATCAATTACGTACTATTTTCCTCTTTATGCAAACCAACGATATAAGATGACTTTTGATACCTACGAAACTTAGCGACTCACGAAAGCCGAGGTCGGGTACAGCCTATAAGCCAATCGCTAAAAATATGAGACGCCTCTCTCGCGATAAATATCTAAGTAATTCGTGAAGTACCTAATGTCACAGTAGCAAAATGTGTCATGCCAGCATGTTCTGTTCTGTGTTGCTCGTTGCTCTTAGCGTAACCGATTTCGCCGACAATGCAGAGTGCTGTCGGCCGTTCTGCAAGCGTTAAGAGTTATCCTGTTTAGGCAAGAGATTTGCTCGTTCCTCATCGCCGTTCACCTTCTTCGTAGTGGGCGACATTCGTGTCACCTCGGACTGTCGAGAGAGAATGTCCGCGTCTAGCGCGTTCAACGAATCGCGTTTAGTTTGAAGTTCCACTGGACTCATTTGTACCTTGAATACATATATCCAATGTGTTATAAAATTTCCAGTGTGTCATAAATTAGTTTAGTCAAATCTCGTCATGAGATGCATTAAGAGTGAGCTATATATAGAAACCTTTGCCGATGAATTCCTGATTTTCCCATCGTTTCGCGGCGAGATAAACTTCGAATTCGTGTTCGGACTGGCGCTGACCGGGAGTGGTGACGTCGGCGCCGTTACGCTGCGTATGGGCGAATGAATAACGGCGTCCTTTGCCTTCTCACTGCCCGTCAATCTGTCCGCGGGCAATATCGGAGACTCGGGTGCACTACGATCGTCTTCCTCAAGAGAATGCAGCAACTGTAAATTAACAAGACCGTCGCTTATTTTGTTCAATACAGGATTGGCGAAAAGTTTCGCGATAATTCATAACAGCTTATGATTTATGCGGTAGATTGCAACCTTTTCCACTTCATCGTCGAACTGTTCCTGACTAGGCAACGGATCCTTTTGACTTCTTTCCAAAAGTGTGGCGCGCTTCGCGGCGAGGTACAGGGATCTCTTGACCTTTACGTAGAAAACTTCGGTCACCGCACGCACCGTATAGTCCGGTATAAAGGTATGACGCAGCATAGAATCCAAATTGACAGACTGAATGCTTCCAACTGTCTGCGGGTTTGCGTTTGTAGGCGACTCGGCTAGAAACAAAAGAGCATATCGTTCGAGCAAAGCTCTGTTTACACGGGCAAATATTATCAAGATTGTATCTCACTCTTACCAATTCCGATGTTAGCGGTAAGAGCTTGTGATCCGAAATACGTGAAAGGACCGCTTTCAAACATCATGTTCTCTTTGCCCACCGTTACTTCGACGCGACCTTCTAAAATTAGCACAAAGTAATCGACCGCTTTTCCTTGCTGATAAATTATCGCCGCCGGATCGGTTTTGGCTTTCTCGCGCGATTTCACTTTAATGTGATAAATAATATCTTGCTTCAGTAAACGTCGCAGGATCGTCTCCGATATAACATCGGGTTTAAACGTGTCCACAGCTGAAGATAATATAATTACAAGTCAAACATTGTAAGATATATCTGTAAACGTTTTGCAATCCGTTCGATATTGCTCCTTACTTGTTGATAAGTACTGGAACATCGCCAACGTCAATTGTGGCGAAATGTGAATTCGTTGGTTTTCTTTTTTCTCCGCGAATATAGTAAAGTCCGTTGGCATTTTCGCACGAACCTGTCTTTTACGTTTACTTCTGTTATCCGCTGCAAGAATTAACATTCGGCGTTAAGCAACTTACGAATTTGACGTGTAAATTTGAAAGAATTTCGTGGTGAAGCGCGAATAAACGATAGAACAAAACCTACTAAACACATCTGTCTCGTCAATAATCTCAGCCTGAATTAATTCTTCAATAACATCCTCTAACGTTATCAAACCAATCACCTCGTAAAACGGATCGCCTTCGCCTTCGTTGTTAACTCTCTGTACAAAAGCCATGTGGCCTTTATGACCTGAAAATATACATGCGTGATTGTTGTTACTCGTTATTCTCATGAAATCTATCCAGAAAGAAAAAAAGAAATTTAAAAAGAGTTATTATACAGACCTTCCTTGAATTGTTTAAACATCACGTCCAATGTAGCATCCTCAAAGACAAAATGACATGGATTTTGATAAAATTGGCAAAGTGTCTTGAGAGGCATGTTATCATCAGGATCAACGAAAGCGAGATCTTTGATATATAGTATTGTTACTATGTTCGTTCTTACATTTTCGTACACTGGTACACGCGAGAATCCTAAAAATAAAATAAAACGCACAATTTTATCCTGCGAGTTTTACATAAAGTTGACAGGAAAATCTGACAAACACTAATTATAATTAAATAGTTATTAGATAACCATTGTTAAATTATTATCAGGACCTGATAAACTAAGTGTTCACCTGACATTTATCTTTGATAAGTGCTTAGTTAAACTGATAATATTTAGCGTTGATTAATACAGAGGAATGCGCAAACGTCATTAAGATTCTCTTGAAACATTAATCGTACCTGATTTCATAATCTCGGACACAGTTTCAAAGTCTAGAATAGCGTTATAATTCAACATGTATACATCTTCGATTCTGGTCATTACATCCAATACGGTCTTCTTTCGCAGTTCTAACGCTCCTGAAATTATATTTACTTCATCTTTCTCTAAATCGTTGTATTCGGTCGTTACCTAGAAAGGTTCCTGTATAGTATTAATATATCAATTTCAAGTGTTCATGCATTTAAGATATTTCTAATAAAATTTTTCCACGTGCAAGACATTTGCAGTTGTAAGTATTATCAGCTTTTGTTAGATCAGTTAGATAATAAACTTGGGTAATTGTAAATAATCACATAAAGGAACAACGTTAATTGTAGTTAAGTATCGAAAACCAGTGCAACTACGAGAGTTATTTCCCCTTATAACAATACCACAAGACATTCTAATTCAATTTAATTATTACACAGCCATTTAATTTCTTACCTTGACCAATTCTTTCAAGCGTTCTCGACTATACACATTTCCGATCTCTTCACCGAGAATGACATCAAGAAGCTTGCTAATTGGGTAACTTAATGGAAAGGTAATTAGCATTGTAATTTTGGTCAGATAGATGGTCTTTGCACCGACGCATAATCCGTGCCTGCTGCACATAGCCTACAACATATACAAATCGCATCTTCAAGCTCGAGATCAGAACCTCGAATAAACTATGCAGGAAGCATTCGCGTAATATGAAAAACATACCTGTGGTGAAATCTCGCCAAAAATGACAATAGCTAACGTCGAGCAGATAACAGCAACAATCCCGGATGTCAAATCATCCAGCAATATCGTGAATATTGAATTGACAAGAACGTTGGAAAACAGAATCGAACACAAAAGGTAATTTCCGTGATTTCTTACCGGCTGAATGGCTCTTGCATATCTTTTCTCCTACAACGTGGAAGTAACGTAACGTAAGTGGAAGGAGGGAAAAATGAAAACGCCGATAAGATATAAAAAGAAAGAGAAAAAATGGATTTGCTTACTTTTTCTGTACCAGTGTTGACGAGTATTTTCAATTCGGTCCTATCTATCGACATTAAACCGAGATTGAGACCGGAGAAAAGTGCGGATAAACTGAGACAAACGAGAATGATCAAGATAGTGAGCCAGAGCGGTAGTAATTTCTCATATGTGCTGATCTGAAAGTCCCGAACTATAAATAATTGTTTTTACTCTGCGTGACGAAATATTAAGTCTTATTTTATTGTAGGTCTTAGTTATTCGCCTAAAATTGTGACGGTGAGAAGGCGAGAAGGGAAATATGCTCACAGTGTTGTGCAGCGCAGTGCCTTGATGCCTAAACAGCACGTCATCCTTCTTAAATTTCTCTTTCTCGTACAACGGCCGTTTTGCGCATACGTAAAACGACGATCCCAGAGGAAGTACTACATGAACAATCGCTGTAGTTTCCTCTACGTTTTCCACCTTGAACGTCGAAAGGGGGCATTTAATTTTTCAGATAATTTCTTTTGTTGAGCAACACGACGATATACTCACCGGAAATTCGTTACTCTTGATCTTGTCGCACACAACGCCTCTTTCCCCCGGCACGTCGGTGAAGGTGATCAAGGTGTCTTTCGTGATACCAGTGCCGAATAATCGAATTACTGCCTTACTCCCGGCCAGAATCCGGGGAACACCCGTCTCGTCGTGACGGGGCTCCTTATCAGCCATGTCTACCCGCAATCCTTCGATATGTATGTCCGTGTAATTGTTCGGGAAAGTTTTGAAACCATCGAATGGATTTTCATCGCGTCGCGTGCGAAAATATTTTCTGGAATTGAATTAATAAATTAATATACAATATATAATGACGGAATTCATTTCCCATCAATAGGGAGTTTTTGCAATACCGTCTTTCAATATGATAAACGTATCTAAATTATAGATATACGTTCACCGTCTAAATTCACATTAGGGATTTTACGGTAATCATGACGTCGATGATAATCGCGAACCTTATTAATTCTCTTAAAAATAAATATTGGACGTTATCTAAATAGCGTTACGGTGAATAATGTGCATGCATACGTAGTTTCGCCTTTCAACTGATAATGTGAATTTAGACTGATAATGTGAATGTATCTAAACAATTCAGATATAGATACGCGTTTACCGTATCTGAGAAAGACGGTATTGCAAAAACCTCCCTATTATTATTATACTGTCATTGCGCATTGCTGTTATTATAGTCGCGATATTTTAAATGCAGGCGTATCCCACGAAAAAAATAGTGGTCGATAAATGCTAATGTCGAGAGGCATATGAAGCGTTATCAAGAGACTCATTCCCGAGATACCAATATAACTCGTTAATCTGCAGAATGAATCGCGGAGAGTAACGAGAGCCCTTTCATAAATAAGGCTATCGTCTTGAAATATTTAGATAATGATATTTCAGATGGTCGATAAACATAAAAAATTACGTCATCCTGCTTGTCTTGCATAAGTCATTTAACCTTCTTTGATATCCCGTACGAACTAGTTTCGTATAACATCGAATGCAAATTAATAAGAGAACACTTTTATATTTTATTCTGATACGATTATTCTCTTACTGATAATCATCTCCAAAATGATTATTATAAAAATTATGAAAGCAGCGTTCGAGTGCATTTTAACAGAAGGTCCTGAAGCGATTTTCCCGTAAAAGGTCGAGTGTTCTAAAGGTCGAATATTTTCGGCTCGATAAAGCAACGCTTTTCGAAAGAACGAATCCGTGACGTGATTTTTCATAACTGCAGTAGAAATAAAAGCGACACGTTCTACGCGTGTATAAGCCGCGTAAACGTTACGTCGCATGTGCGACGAGTTATCGGCGACGACGGCGGGATATATGGGTCGCACACCAATTTCTATTTTTACTGATTATTAAACGTGGGCCAAGTTTGAGTATTGAATCGCAGACTGTTGGGTCGTAGCCAGCACGAGGTGTGGTCAATGGTTTAGCGTTCGTGGATAGCGTGCGGTGCGGTTTATCGCCGTCGCGCATCGGTGTTCGACGAATTCCTCCTTGGCGAGCCGAAATGTGCGCGTCTAAAGTTGCGCATTCCTCACGCCTCGAGCGATAATATGTACGCCCTAAACGTTCATCGTCGTGCGACATCGTCTTCTATTACCTAATCCGACGCGGATTTACTCCCTCCTGCGATGTTGATGACGAAGTAAACAGTCCCGCTGAGGGAGGCGGCCGGAGGAGGAGGGCGACGAGACGCGTGATTTATTGAAAACTAAACGATCCGCACATACTGTACAAAGTCATTCGCCTTCTCATAAATCAGCGTCGTGTAATGTTCGTGGGAACGTACGCAGATAATTCCGGCGTATATATACATTTCGTATATATGTATAACTTTCGTGATTAGACGGCAGAGTAAAGAGAGACGAGTTACTTGTTTGCAGAAATCCTAGGGCTTCCCCTGTATACCTAAGATGCCGTTTTAGAAGCAAACAAACAACATTTTCAACGTTTGTTTCGAATGGACGCGAGTCCAATGACATTTAAATCAACAGAAACATCTGTAATGTGACATTACAAAGTAAAATATACACACATAAATATATACAAATGTATACATATACATATAAGCAAAAATATATATATATGTATATTCAGTTTTATATATAATTTTCACCTTGATATAAACAATAAACATGTTTAGTAAATTTTACTGAAAATGCGCAATTCGATCCATCGAGCTTGAAATAATCAACTTAATTAAGTCTCTCAAGGCCTTCGATATCACTGCTGAAATATTAATGTCCACCGCGAAGTACCTACTTATATACTTTCTATTACTTCATATCTGTTTTTAGGCACTTAGTCATATTCCCTCAGTGATCAATTTGGATAATTATTTGATATATTCTAATAAATTTTGGGAATCGCTCTGCTGCTCGCAAGACAAGAGAATAAGAGATAAAATCGAAGAAATTCACGGAAAATACGCAAGTGGAAAAGCCGACGGAGTAACAGATTTGCGCACAGTACGAGGAAAAGGAGAGGAAAAAAATAAAAGTGACAAAAATAAAGATGAAGAAAATGCAAAAAGTAAGCCAAAAAGAAAGACAAAACGATAAAGAAGATAGGAAAATATAAAAATAAAGTTAAAGAAGAAAGTAAAGTGATAAAAATAAAGAAGAAAAATAGAGGTGAAGAAGAAAATAGAGATGAAGATGGCACAAAGATAATGAAGATAATTAAAAAAAGATAAAATAAAAAATAAAGAAGAAAATATAAACAAGAATATAAAGAAGATAATGAATAAGGAACAGATGAAGATGAAATGAAGAAAAAAAAGATAAAGAAGAGATGAAGATAAAAATGAAGAAAATACAGAAAAAGATAAAAAAAACGAAGATAATAAGGAAGCTGAAAAAGGAAAAAGAAGGAAAAGGCACCGAGTTATATTAGGTATATTTAGAAAGTCGAGACACACGACACACTGTCGAAGATTACTCACTCCGGCCGTAATTTATGGAGAATATGGAGGTATTTTAAGGAGACGCGATCGCCGAGGTTGATCCAGTTTTTGTCGCTGCCGTTTCTCAGGCAGAAATAGACGACGGCAACCTTCGCATCCGGAATCATCCGGAATCGGTACATCGCGCGGTCGCTCGCCGACGACGTCCATACGGCGTCCAAAGCGTTGCCCGCGTCCGGCGGACAATCGCGGCTCGACGACGACCATCGCGGGGCGAGATCGCGATCGAGGCCGGTGCCCAGGAACTCGATCCCCAAGTCGGGAATTCGGCGAACGTCGGCGGGGCTGACGTCGAGCGGCAGTGCCGATAACGCGACGACCGCCACGGAATTCACCGCGAGCTGAACCACGCGCGGCGGAACGTCGCCGTGACGGACGACGGCACCGTCGACCGTCGTCGCCGTCGCCGTCACCGTCGCGGTTGACGCGATCGACGAGCCGGCATTCGCTAGCTGGGCGACGTAGGCGGGAACGAACAGCAAAACAATCGCCGTCGGCGCAAATCGCGGACGGCCGACATACTGCGCCATCATACGATACGACCACTGTGACTCCGCACTCCGCCGACAACTTCACTTGGCTCGAGCCGAAGGCTTAAGTAGTTGTATTTATAATGCGCCGCCGCGAGTGCGCGCGCACGCGCCGCGCGCCCGCTCCCTTCGATTGCGCGGAGTGCGGGCTACGCAATTTTACGCCAGTTTCACATTTCGCCGAAGACTGCAGGCTCGTTTCCATAGATTTTGTGCATCGCGCGCGGAATATACCCCCGTGGGGTAACGATTGGTCCCACACCTGACTATAGCGAAGACAATTAATTGGTTACAATTGTAACCGTGATGTAAAAAGACAGGTGTAGCATTACCAAGAGTGCGCAGTCGTCATTAGGCCTGTTCGTTTTAGCTGAACTTCTTGCACGGTTCATCTTTGCTTTTTTTTCTTTTTACGTTGGAAAGAAAAAGAGAAAAGATGAACTGTGCGAGAAGTTTAGTTAAAACGAACAAGCCTATTTCCTTTGACCAATCAGAAATTTGTCAAAAGATGCAAGAAGGAACATAAACGAGATGAATTGTCAAGCGGTGTCGACGCAGGTTGGTGAACGACTGGTGGAAGATCTGTGGAGTCTACGCAGGCCGATAGAACGGTATTCATAGTCCAATCTTAATTTTTTAATTATAGAAAAGTTTACCTAAAGACGCTGCAAGGGTTGTTTTATTACAATTATAATAAACTTGAGATGATTTTAAATATAATAAAGATCGTGTCAGAAATGTTGTTCTTACAGTTTGAATAAAATAGTAAAAGAAGACATTATTATAAATTAAGTAATTGATTAATTAATTGATTTTTTGAATTATATTTTCACTGTAGTTCTAAAATAATTAACTTTGATCAAATTCGACCAATTTTTGATTTATCTACATTTTGCAAAAACGACATCTAATATACCGACATCGATAAATTTATCGGCTATTGATAATACCAGCGTCGTTTTGCATTTATCAGCCACAGATTGTCTAGGCGTTTCCCGTGTTCACCGACAGGTGGCGCTACTTGCGTCCAACAATCCCCGGACCGGACCACCGTACCGTATCGCCGACGACGGCGACGACGCCGATGATTTGCCGTCTGCTCCGCTCCTCGCTCCAGCGTCATAGCCAGCGTATTCAACAGTATACAAGTGTATTCGAGCGCGGAAAGCCCGGTGGACCGTCGCGTTGCGTCGAGCGTCGAGCGATTCTCCGCGCGCGCAAGCGAATCGTCGCGCCGCTTCCTGCCGTCGCCGTCGCCGTCGGAGTCCTCCGTTGGAAGAGAGAGAGGAGCGCATCTCAGCGCATCTGGAGCATCCAGGAGCGCGCGGCAGAACCGCAGAAGGGGGACGCGCGCGTCCTACGTTCCGTCAGCGCGTCTTTTCGCGACGTCTCGCGTTGGGACGCCGCCTGGATCATCGCTAGAGTCTCGCATCCCCGTCGCTCCCTCGTGACCCGGACAAAATGGGGACGTTCTGCTACAACTTCTCCAAGTACACGCTGGCGGCCATGAGCCTCGTGTTTTTGGTGAGTCCACTTCCGCGCGTCTCTTCATCCTCAGATCGATACGCTTCCCCGCCGCCTCCGCCCCGGTCCGGCAACGATTTCACTCTCGCCTTTAATTCTAATTCGATTCAATTCTAGGATCGACCGCGGTTTGCCAGTGAGTTTCTCCCCGGCCTGCAAACTGAACGTTTCACGTTTGTTCTGTGACGCGCGTAGCGCACGTAAACTTGGATGGGAGTTTACGAAGAGTTCTTGTTTTTGTTTGCCGCGGCTCTCCGCCATTATTATCGATGCCTCCTCGGCGGGTCGCCTACGCTTCGACTCGATTAATTAATTTTATAGGGCGCGAAGTCGAGTTAACGCTACCATGAGAAGCCTGCGATTGGACTCGTCGCCGAAGCTTCTTCCTCGTGATAAAAATCAATTTCATTATATACACACACATCTCGCTGGAAAATTATATCGCCCCGAGAATCCCCCGATCGAATGCGAATCGTGTGGGGATGATTGCGTCCACGTGCGACGGAAATATCGATGACACCCGAAAACGCAGGCCGGCGCGGAAGAACGCGAGGAATCATCGGGAACGATTAGAGGAACCCCTCGAGAGGCGACGACCAAGTTGAATAAATATCGAGCTCGGATTAAGCAACTCTCGCTGCAAAGCGCGACGTTTATCGACCTCGGAATCTACGATTTCGAAATATCCATCTTAGACGTGCGTTTAAATATAGTCCCGCGGTCGTAGAGCGCGAGTACGCCGTTTCTTCCTACGAGCTTTCGCGGCCCACGCTACGGCCCAATTCCCTCCTCGCATCCCCCGCGGGGTCGGAACGTTATTAACGAAGGAGCGCCTTCCGAGAGTCGACTGCACTTTACGCCGACTATATTTGCTATAATCGCTATGTAAGCTGGTTTCAAAGTCCCGTCGCGTTTACGACGGCAGCGTAAGATCGCGTCGTTTCCCGTTTAACGTGGAAAATCCGCGGCGCTTTATTTCAGATCGTCAAATCCGTCGAAAACTGATTTTACTTGCGAGATAGAGATATGACAGTAGATTTACCGTAGAAAACGAGCAGAATTTGCCATTCTTGTCAATAAATAAAGATGTTATTATTTATTATTATTTCTGTCTCTATCTTTATTATTAATTAATTAAGGCTACGGTCAACGTGACGCTACAAATGCTTCGAAGCATTCCTCTTCTCTTTTCTTTCAATGAAGAAAGAAGAAGAAGAACACTCCAAAGCATTTGTAGCGTCACGTTGACCGTAGCCTAAATGATACTGTATAATCGAGTCGTATCTGACTTAACGTAGAAAATCCGCGGCGCTTGATTTCAGATGGTTAAATCCGTCGAAAACTGATTTTATTTGCAAAATATGACAGTAGATCTATACCGTAAAAAACGAGCAGAATTTGTCATTTCTGTAAAGTAAATATTATTTTTTAATATCATTTTTTTAATTTTGACATTTAAATAAAATTTTAAATGACAGATTGCTGGCAGTCTGCAGTCGAATTCCGTCGGCAGGTTCTGTTGGCGGAAGCCGAGTTTAATGCCGATGCCATCAATCCGCTTGAATCCACTGTCGAACTGCTAACGTTTTGCTCACTGGCTTTGCCCGCTGGACTGGATCCACGTGACGATTTTACGACGGCTCGGACAGAAGGTCGGGGATCATCGATATCTCGCGCTAGATATCCCGCGATCGGTATTAGCTCTGATACTAGCGGGATGGAATCCGCTTCTGATTCATCGGATCGTTTTTAGTTGTTGCGCGCGCTCTTACATCAACTCTATCGCGTTATAGCGAGATTTTCTATTCTCGCCGCGCGACGAATGAGAGATGACACGCGAGACGTTTCTCTTTTTCTGCTTTACGGCACGCTTACGTACGAATAAACATTGGCTCGAGAAACCTTGACGTTTTCTCTTCCGTCAAAATTCTCTTTTCTCGGAATTTTCTTATATATTAATATTACGTTTATATTGTACATGTCCTCAGTTCTTCACGCGGAAGGGACCGACGCGTTATCTCTTTATTCGTTGCCGACGAAGACCCATGGGCTCCCAGAAATTCCCAGCTCCATCAGCGGGATTCTCTCGCCTCTACCAATATTTGACTCTGGCACATTAATATATTTTTTCGCTCGTGTCCGTTTACACAAGCTAATCGACCAGCTTGCGGCAGACCCGCTCGAGAATAGCGCTGGTACTTCGAACGCCAAGGACGTCTCTCCTCTTCCTCCTACCTTTTAACCCGTGAACCCACGTTCGGCGCTGGAGAAGAGACTAGTGGCAGGAAACCCCGTGATAATCCGCGCGCTTAAATGGAAGCTGCCACATCTGGCGGACAGACAGTTTCATTGTAAACGTCCCGTCCTCCTCCCTTGCCCAGGCCCCCGTACGGTTCGGCTCATAAAGTGGCTCGTTAGTCTCTCTCATCCCGCAATGTCGGGACTTGCTTGAAAACATCTTTTGTGGACCGACTCGCTTGTCCTGCACCTTGAACAATCCCAAGAATAAACTAGGAATAGCATTACTCAACTGGGGAGAGAAATTTACAGAGAAAGAAATTAATAAATAATTTAAAAGAAAATAGCACATTTCTTTGCTAATTAAGATCGAAGCCGCGTTCAGCGTGAACGAGCACGAACGAACCACAAACGAACGCGAATGTATTCCATTTCTCGTTCAGAGTCCAGGCATACGACAAGGAAACGCTCGTTCGTGATTGTTTGTGCTCGATCTGCCTGGACGCGTTTACTTTATTTATCTTAATGAGCTTTAATTGCTCGCTCGCGTTCGTTCGCGATTTTTCGTCCTTACCAGCTCGATCTAAACGTCATTTATTCGTATGTCTTTTACAGATAATCTCGGTGACGGTGATAACTCTGGTAGCATGTATGTTATCGGACAAAACGTATTTAGTATCGATCGCCGAGGAAGGGAACAACTACGAGGCAGGCCTGTACATTTTGCTCTGCACCGGAATCCTCATGCTCATCGTCTCCGTCCTAGGCTGGTGCAGTGCCTTCAAGCATTCTCGATATTGTCTGGCCACTTTCTTCAGCATCATGCTCGTCATCGTGGTCGCGCAAGTCGCCTTCGCCGGCTGGCTTTACGCCCATGGGGACCGCCTGGACGAACTGGTGCGATCTTCCGTGATAAACACAGTTAAGGTAATTCCCCTTTTAATTATGAAATATTCTAAATTCAGTAGCAATTCTCATGTGAAGTGACTTCTCGTTGTTCGAGTAATAATTGTATATTATGCAAATGAGCATATCCCATTATTTTTCGCAGGATGAATATGGCGAGATACAATGTCGCACGCAGATCATGGATACGATTCAGGCCACTCTCGAATGCTGCGGAGCTAATGGACCTGCGGATTGGGCCGGCAGCAAGTACGCAAGTCAGGAATCCTCTCAATCTCAATTGCGGTTATCTTTTGGTGTTTCAAACGCTAACAACGTGTTTAAAATACCAAAATCTTGCTGCAAAGATGCGACCAGCACCGCCTGCAGCGAGGGTCGCCTGATGAAGGTTGCCGGAACCGTGAGCTCCGCGATTTACAGTGAGGTAATGCTTCTTTTTGCCATATTAATTAATTGTTCGTCATTCAATTTTATATTATGCATACTTTATTCTTATTGCATTAAACATACAGTGTACCAAGACAAAAATTTTGTTGCAGGGATGCATGGAAAAGTTGGTGACTACACTGAAGACCCAGAGTTACCACTTTATGGGTGCAGCGATACTGGTCTTAGCCCTAGAAATTCTTAGTCTGATACTCGCTCTAATTTGCTGTTGCAAAGGCGGACCATCAGATAGATACAAAGCCTAAGTTGACTCGTCGCGCGTATCGTGTAAGAATCTATTAAATAGAGAAGGTAATCACACAGATGTTTCATAACTGTGGAATATTTGTATTAATTTGACCAGACATATGTGTGACTTATATTGATGGAGATATAATTATTTAAGATACATATAATATATATATATATATAAGCCTTCCAAAATTTTCGAGAGTGACAGCAGGACTGTAGAAAGAAGTCTGATTATAAATGCTTCCTAATTAATTTTAAATGCACTCTGACTCGGTGCGAATTTTATTGATCTTTATTGTCATTAACAGTTTTTTACATTTGCGTAATATTATTCAATTCGACTCTCAGTCTATATTTATACCTGCATATCTTACATGACGATATAATGTACTGGACAAGAATCTTGATTTTATGAATATAGAAGAAGTTAGGTGCGAATTTAATGGACACTCTTTTTGATTACTGCCAAAAATGCTCTTCTACATAAATATATATATTTCCAGTTTAAAGACTTTTATGTACATAAGCATTTACCATCTTTCACAAGGTACCTACATAGCTAGGGTTTCTTCGGGCCAAAGTAGTAACCAAACTAACGCATTGCGTTGACACAAAGTGAAAATTATTATATTTTAAATTGCATAATGAGGTATTATAGAAATATTATTTCTATGACGAAAAGTATATCTTGTGTTGCATCTGATATATTTATAATCTTACGAGCGCGTTTAATATCTCGCATGACGTTAAGTTGCTGATTTTTATTTACTTTAGGCTTATTGCTAAAAGATTAGAAGCTATATTTTCACATGACTAATCTTAATTAGGAGTGTAGGGTTTAACGATCTGAGTATAGGAATCTCGAGATATTGAATGGTGATCAGTTATCGTGTCTTACACCGATTAACGTTTCTTTAGCGTTAATCTCGCGAATCAAAATAGGGAAAGAACATGCACCTACTAATACATACAATACAATCAATCTAATACTTTAACTTACTACAGCGCGATCGTCATAGTGTCTAGTCTGTAAACGATTAATGTTAACTTATCGACTTATCTACTTGCTTTATTTCTCACGCGATATATGATATATTTTATATATTATTTTTTATATACATATTAATAATAATTTTCTATAGATTCTATGAATAGTAATAACTGTTACCACCAATTTTACAAAAAGAACTACTACTTATAGAGTTTACATACGTAATAATAATATGTTCGATTTTATATAAATTTTACTAATCGCAACAAATTATTATACCGCGAACATTGCTTTTGCAAGTAACGTTTTATTAAAGCCATATCAATATTTTTATAATTCGCCACTAATTCCAGATAAGTCTTCGAAATGTTTATATCGTATCTGATGTGCTATATAATACTCGGCTTATTAATATAATACAAGATGTTGGTTGTATGCAAGAGACATTGCGTAATATAAAAATCCATATTTCTAAACATTGATATATTGTGTTATTAAGATTCTTATGGAAATTTTAGTAATTTTACTCGCATGGGTGGTCGATTAATTTATACAAGTTTGCGTTGGGAATCAATCTTTTTAGAATTTTTTTAGACATCTTGACAATTATCGCAAGAGAGCGAAAATTCAAACAAACAAAGCAAACATCTATAAACAGATGACGAATTCTGACAGAATTCATTATTAAACCATGACACAGCATATTCCGCCGTAAAAAAAATAAAGTTATAGTAGCGAACGAAGCCATCGATGTTATATTAAAAGTTGTAACGCAAAATAATTGTTACGTGTATATGTAGAAATACAAAAACGGCGTGTAACAGCAATACGTATGTTGACTAAAAAACAAGACACACACTTCTTTGATTCTGCATTATAATGCTCGTACACCAGCACAAAAACATGCACCCATCTGTATAATTCTCATGTATTCTTGATCGGACTGTTCTATTCTGATGTTACTTTACAAGTTTATTTTTTGACGTGGATTATATTTGTACAATTTTTAGATGTTCATGATTAATATACAATAAGGAAATTATTATCATTGTTGATTTATTTCTAGCTTATTCTACATCCCTTTTTCTCCTGAATGCCTTTTCTCCTGCCTTTTCTCCTGAATGACGTGAATGGAACGGAATGGAAACGCATTCGAAATCTTTTCGTCTACAACACGTTGGAGATGGTCAACGAGGGAGAGTGAAATATAAAAGATTGAGGATTAATGAGATGGCAGAGTAATAGCCAGCGAGATGAAAGGTAATCGATAGAGATCTCCGTAATGTAATAATTCCAGAGTTAATTCCGACAATAAGTGAGAGAGGTAATTAAAGCCTTTATTAAACTCTATTTGAGCGTATACTCTACACGCTCGAAGTCACGAAACGAGCCTCTCTAACTGCGGTTCCCCATTCTGAACCGCGTTGTTAATGATGACGAGCGCGAAGCGGAGCGAAGCGAGCGAGCACGGGGACCAAGGAAGGAGGAAGGAAGGGTCGGAAGGAGGTGATGTCAGAGGGAGAAGGCGGAGGAGGAACGAGGCTGACTGTTCAGGAGAATTGGAGGGGCTGGTCTCGCTCGACACCTGGGGCCCGCCGAGGGGCCCAGGAGGGAAGCGGGACCGCAGGTGCGGTCGGGATGAAGCACGGCCGTGCAATGTGGTGCGGTCCGTCGTGGAGAACGGGAGGAGGCCGCTCTCGCGCGATCGCCTGTTTCCCTCGCGAGAGTTCCCTCTCGAGAGTCCGGTCTCGCGCGCGTCGCGCGTTCCTCCGCTTCCGGGAAACGCACGGCTTTCTTCGCGAACCTCGAATGCGCGTGTTATATATATTGAGCTATCGAAACGCGAGGTACGTCTGATCGGGTCAAGTTTTCTTCCTGCGGACCAAGTGAGATATATAGCCCGACGGTGCATTCCTTGGATGGAACGCGCTCGGGGGTCCCCGAGTCGAGTCTCTCTCTCCTTTCTTCTCTCTCTTTCTCTCTCTCTCCTTCCTTTTCGTCACGCGGACGGAATGGTAAGTGGTACCTTTTTCGACAGGTAAAAGTTTCCTACGCGACAGAAGTCGAGAGGACCGACGTGGAGAATGTGTAACCGGATATCCAGCGGCGTACGCGTACTTTGATAACTGGCCGGTATCATCAGCGAAACGAGATCTCTTCTGCGATCCGATACCTATTAATTAATTAACCGAATACACATATCATCGAAAAACGCATATCAATTATATATATCATATGAATTGAAAGTAAATTAAATTAAACTCTGCAAGCAGTTTAAGCCTTAACTTAAGAGTTCAAGCCAGTCCAAGTCGGCCGCTCGTTTACTTATAGCTAGGATTATCAAACGGAGCCGCGATTTCGACGCAATCGCTTTCTCTCAATGCCAGAGCGCCGAGTAAATAAGCGTGCCACGGCCATCTCACGCCGCGTGATCAAGCGCACGTTCTAAGATATCCGGAGGTGCCTCGGAAGGCGGCTCTCGTCTCCGCTCGACATCACCTGTCGCGTGGGTGAGCCAGTTCAACGTTTTCCGAAGTCGGCGGTGCGACTCGGCGACCTACTTCAAAGCTTTAAGCTGCGCCGGTAGATACGACGACGCAATTGCATATGAACGTACATGATCGAATTGCCTTAGGTCTTTAGCGTTCTTCTATTATCCGGAAATTCCGCGGAGTTGCTGGAATTACCTGCAATTCTCGCTCATCTTGTACAATGATATAAAGAGAGAATCTGTTGAGATGACTCACTTTTAAATATTGATTTGACGCGTATTGTACGAATGTATAAATTCATATTGAATTGTAATAAAATATTAATATAATATGAATTATATATATTAAATATTAATATGAAATTATATTTAGTGACAATGTATATAGTAATTATGTATTTGGTTTTAATTAGTTAGAACCAAATTTATTAATACAAATTATATTATACTAAAAATATTTTAGTCAAACAATACTGCTTATTAAATTTCACTGACAGAGAAAAGAAGTTTTTAATTTAAAAATATTTTATTGAATACATGATTATAATTTATATTATATTAATATTTATAATATAATTTTATATTATAATTTTATATTATAATTTTATAATAATAAATTTGTATTCAAATTTCGTAATACATTTTTAGATTGAAAGCGCAGCGCGTGAAGATCTTCTCGACCAACGTTTCGGATGTACGTAAGTGGAAGCGGAAAATCCTTCCGGAATTACGATCTTCTCGAAGCTCTTTGATTGTCACTGACACGAGTCGCGATGAGGACTATCGTTTACTGTTCGACGCTCCTCCTGATATCGGCGTCGATCGTCGGATCAGTCAACGAATGCGAAGATCCCAATTTTCACTCTTTAGAGACCCTGGAGTCGTCCAAGCTGGAGTGTGGCCCGGCCTTCAAGAACCGCTGTCGCTGCCTCAGAACATGCTACGACGGTCATCATCAGTACGTCGTGAATTGCACGGGTACCGGATTCCACGACGCGTCCCCGCTGGCGCAACTGCCTAACGAGACACAAGTGCGTAGACCAAAGTCCGCAACTCCACTACATCATTAAAGATTTTTTATTCGACCTAACTGGCTATCGTTATTATTACTATTATTATAATCGTTACGACGTTGTGTGTGTGAACATGGGTTTCCTTTTTAATCGATGTAACTTTTGATGCTCATGTATATAAGCATCATCCTCTCTAAAATCACCGTCAAACAATTTATCGCGAAAAATTATATCATGAACGCGTTTTGATACATCCCAGGTGCTCATCTTTACGGGAAACGAGTTGGAAGAGCTGCCTTGGAACGTGTTCGGCACTCTGGATAGCCTGCCGCTTCTGAGAGTGATCGATATGTCGAACAACAAGATACGCGAGATACGCGGCAAGGCCTATCACCACGTGCAACACGTGGAGCGCCTTATACTCGACTTCAACGAGCTCTCGCTAGACCCCGCGAGGAGCCACCCGCGGGTGTTCTCCAATTTCATTTCCCTTCTGGAGCTGCACTTAACCGACGCCTTCGAGGACGGTCCACCGAGGAATCTGGCGTCGACGCTCCACGACATCTTCGTGAACAGGTAACTGAGTCATCTCATAAATAATGCGGTACAAAAGGGAGCTTGATTTATTTATTAGCTCAAAACCGAGAAACTTCTATCGCAACGGAATTAAAAATTTAAGTTTAAGGTAAGAAGAAGTTGTAAATATAATAATGAACAATATATTTTAAATTAAAATTAAAATGATTAAATTTTTTATTTTGTTACAAAAAAATATCTAAAAAATTACTTACAAGGTGACCCAATATTTTATTCCTTTATTTCTTTTTTCTTTTAGAAGAGTTAATCACTCAATTGATGTTTCTTTTAATTATTTTTTTCCCAGCAATCTCACGCAGCTGATAAAACTCCATCTCGAACAGAACGAGATCTCGGAGTTCCGAGACGTCAACGTATTCTGCGATCTACCGAATCTCCTCGATCTTCATCTCGGCGATAACGATCTGACCGCGCTGCACTTCAATCTGTCGTGCCTGCACAACCTGCGCTTCCTGGATCTACGGCGAAACAAATTCACGAAGGTCCTCGAGCGCGATCTCCACACCATGGACAATCTCGCTAAGCACGAGCGATCCGTATCCGTGGATTTCTCTGGCAATCCCTTCGAGTGCTCTTGCAAGCTTAATCCGTTCATCAAATGGATGAAGAAGACGAAAGTATTTGTCCGAAACAAGGCCAACTTACAGTGCTACGAGGGTAAATCTTTATCGATCAGATTATTGTATTCTTTTCTCAACCTGGAAACCAAAATTCACGCTCTCTTTCCTTTATTAGGTAACGCAATTCATGACTTCCACGAAACGAAGAATTGCGCTCCGAAACTACTAGTCTCCACCCGGCGAGGGGCGACGGTGGTGCTTTGCTTTCTCTCGATGGTGCTGATCGCCCTGGTGTGCGCCTTGGTCTATCTACAAAGGGCGAAACTTCAGAAGAAGATCGAACCGGTGCTCGACTCGGTCAGCAAGAGGGTGCGATACACTTCGATAGCGAATGGTGATACTCGCGAGGACGTGTGAACAAAGTAAGGGGAGAGAAACTGTATTGCAACAAACGAGAAGTCTTCGCTTAATTCTTAAGTGCGCAGTTTTGCATATGTGCAAAGCGACTTTTCGATGCTCCGTCTACTCTCCCTTTAGAAATTCGAACTAAAAACGCCGCAGTTTTGCTTACATTTAAAGGTTCTTCTTTGGCCCTTCTGGATGGGAAGGCTTAGATGGTCATTATTTATTTAAAAAATACTCAGAATGCTACGAAAAATTGCGCATTTAAAATTTAAGATGAAAAATTTCGTTTCCGTCTCGCGAAGGTGCCGAATCTGAAAACGCAGTTTATATCCATTCGCTCGTCTCGAAGCGAAAAGCGACGGGCGCGAATTAAAGATCGCGTCTCGGAAGAAACTCCACGCGCGTGAAACTTTTGTAAAATACTTTCAGCTGTAACGGTACCGTCGTTTTACGTTAAATTATCCTTCAAATTTCTACGGTTCTCGATAATTCGCGCGTTCGCAACGGCGCGTGAAATTGAGCATGAATTTTCATGTTTGACGCATTTTCAGGTACCGCATGTAGTCAATGAGCGATATCGAATTGTGATTAATGCTACCTAGTTATTCAATTTAACTTTACGATGTAATCCGTTTATAAATAAATGTTATTTATTATAACGATTTCTGGAATTTATTTCTTAAGGACAGATCTCTGCGTTGCACTCGCGTAGTCGAATTTCCGTCCAAGGAAATGATAATAATAAATTAATTATGTATGATAAATTAATCGCGCGCGGAGACCTGCGTAGGTGTTGAGGTTCGGTAGGTGCAAAAACGATGTGGATTTTCCTTCTTATCAACGGCTATCGGAGCGTCGACACCTTAGTCGAGATTAGATACTGCGTACAGTATATTTTAAGCTGCTTTAATGACTGCTGTTTGTTCAAAGCGAGGAAGTGTTGCGGAGTTATTTTAGCGAGTTCCTGTCCTTTTAACGTCGTTCTTTGCATAAGTTTACACGCTCTCGAGCTTCGCGCTAAGCGCAACGAGAAAAATGCCGCTCGTCAAGCGACTTCGTCTCGACGAGGTCATCAGCTCGTATCCGGAACTCGGGCCGACAGCTCCAGATGGTGGATACTCGTGGTTGGTCCTCCTAGGCGTTGCCTTCATTCAGGTTCGATCATCGCACGTGAATCTTTGACAATAAAGCGCGCCTTCGTTCAGAAATTAGATCTCGCGATTCTACGCAGTCACTGGCACTGAATACTGTTGCCTGATTCTTTGTTAAAATTATAAAATAATTATACATTAATTCAAATAATTATTCATTAATATTTATATTATATAATATAATTATACATTATTAATAATTATTCGTAATCTGTTTCTTAAAATTAACGAAAAGTTGGCAAAAGCAACTTGGAAGATGAAAAACAGTCGGTATTCGACGCAATACAGGGTATTTAGAAATATATGCTCAATAATATCGACATTTTTATTTAAAGAAAGAGTTATCGTGCATTTTTTCTTTGTTTTTGCACGCGATAAACTATGATACGTTAAAAACAATTTTGTTCCAGGTGTTACATTGTTTACGATGTAAGTTTGCCGGAAGGAACGCACGAATCGAACAATGATTTCTCGTTAAAGATTTGCTATGCGATAAATAGATCCATGCCACGTCGCGATAGTCTCTGTAATTGTTTTGATAGGTAAGTATAGAACCCCTGATATTGTTATGCCTATATATCTCACGATGCCCTGTATAACGCGTCTACTAAATATCGCACGGTGTATCAAGATAGATTAGACAGATTCTGTTAAAAATCTACAGATTACCGTGCCCAGCGTTCTGTCGATGTACGGTATAGTGCGGGGGTATTTGGCCATGAACAGTTCGTCGATTTACTTCGATCTGTGGAGCGAGGTCACCCTGGCGCCTCTACTGTTCGTCGCTTTTTGGAGCTTAGCAGGTAGCTTCTATTATATCACTATGATATATCGGCTTTTTATCACGACTTCCTCACTTATCTTCGCCAACGATTTTTCAGATCCGTGGACCAAGGCCATCACGGATTTGGCGTCGATACCGCGACTAGTTGGCCTCATCGGCGTGGCTCTTCTTACCACGGGGGTGATAGCTTCCGGATATCTGGCGACTGGCGGGGTGGGCGCGTATTTAGCCGGCCTGAGTGCCGGCGCGGTGATGGGCATAGGGGCGAGTTTCGTGATCGTCGAAAGCGAGACCGTGCTGCGGAGGCATTTCAGGGTGAGACTACCACTGGCGCTGACGTTGAAGAACATCGCCACGTCCATCGGCTTCATCCTCGTGCCGGCGCTCACGCATTTCCTGCTCGTGGAAACCGGTCTGAAGGCCGGGCTCTTACTGATGACGATCGCCTTCGTTCCCACCGCCGTAGGCACTCTGACCTTGCGCTTTCCAGCTCCACAGCGAGCGTCCCCTTACAGGTGACGGCGGGGGACGTTCTCGTCCCGTTTATAAATTTAAACTTTCGCGTTGATCTCTAATTAAAGCAGAATCGTCATTCTGAAATTTGTCTTAAAGAGACTATCTTAACGCTGCGCAATCTTGTGTCAACAGGTTGCTTCTGGCCGACGAGGATAACGAATTGGGCATCAGGATGTCTCCGGATAGAGAGTCAGAGTCGGAAACACGGGATAACGGCGCGGATAACGTCGGCTATGGTACCGGCGACAAACAGGATAGAAATGTCGCGCCTTTGTTTAGCGAGGTGAACAGCATCTACGGGTATCAGGATCCGGACGAGGACGTTGAACTCTTCGTCAGTCCGACCGCACGATCAGACAGCAAGTGGAAGCAGGAGTTTCGCGTGGCTCGCTACTTCAGGTTCTGGGCGGCTGTGGTGACGTGGACCGGGATAAGGGCCGGATCGCTCTTCTTCTGGATCTTGGTACCCGCCTTGTTCCTGCAGCGCGCAGATCCGGTTTATTTCACGGACGACTGGGTGACGTTGCTGGTGGTCGCCGGTGTCGGTTCGTTCGTACCCAGCATCGCCAGCTACTGGTCCATCGTCACCACCGTTCAGTATAGAAGAATATATTTCGGTGGCGCCTGTTGGCTCGGCAGTGTTGTTTTGTTAAGTGCGTGCACAAGAATCGCATTTCTCCTTAATTCCAAATAATACTCATTAATGTAACGTTCAATTTTACGCAATATTTATTATTTATCGTGTTAACATGTCCGAATTGTTTACACGCATGAAACTCATTATATTACTTTGATTATCGCCGACGTCTTATCCATAGGTTTAACATATACATATGACTACTATTGGTTTCTAACGTGGTCGTTGCTCGGTGGAGTCAGCATCAGCAGTCTGCTTGCTTGTCAAGACTTGACGCTGTTCGACGTGCTGGGTAATCAATTCGCGCATCGCTCGCACAGATTGTTCTCCACCATCGTCGGATTGGGTGTGCTGGCCTTCTGCTTCGTGCACAGTACGTATATCTTGTAACATTTATTTTTATATATTCTTTCTTTTCTTCCTTACAATTTTGAAGAGTTTTATGAATTTCGTTTCTTCGGTACGCGCGACGCACCGAATATGACAGTAAAAGAAAAATTCACGACCCAAAGATTTATCGAATTTACAATTTGATCACAGGCGAGAACGCGTGCCTTCGCGTCGTCGCGTTGCTGCAGTTTCTTGGCGGATGCTACTGGATCGTGCCGCCTATTTGGGAAATCATACGAGCGCAGAGGTTGAGAGAGGGCTGACAAATATCATTACATAAACAATACGCTGCTGTTTATCGCAGAAATATTTATATTAAGGCGTTAACATCGATGACGGAAACTGGTGATGATCGCGATTCATACAAATAGTAAAAAATACTCTTACGAAATAATCTTAAGAATAGATACGTGTACTCCTGTGTAACCGAAATCTGTGCGAACTGCAGTGTTCACCAGAAATATGTGATTACTTAATTCTTCATACCATATGTCAATTCGTAAGTTACATAACCGACTATGGATTGTCAAGAATGTATAAGGCAATATCGCAACAAATTTCAGGACTTTATGTTCCTTATAACTTGATGGAGAGGCAGTAAAACAAGTGTTTTTACATTATACGATTGTCTAAATATGACCACAATAAAGTGTCGTGAAAACTTTATTAAAATAACTTTCTTAATCTTCGACATGTCAACAATGCACATCACGGTATTATCACACTGATCATTGTCTTATTTTTAGTGATAAAATTATTCTATTATTTGTTTTTATTTTGCAAATCTTTTTATATCTGCTTAGAATACATACGATCGCATATCTCAATCTAAATATTAGTTATTCATTAGCAGTACATACTAATATGGTTGGCAAAAATAAAAAATGAAAGAGATCGATAATATCTCAAGTAAAAGCTAATATGCGTTCGCGTAAAAGAGTCACTACCGTGTCTCTTGATAAAGTTATAAATAATTTAAAATATAAGAAAACAACGGCACAACAATAAAAAAGGTTATACGATATTTGACAGATCTTAAGCTGAAACATACGTATACAACATATATTTTATGCCCTTTAGCTCATTTAACAATTTAATTTTTTAATTAACTAATAAAATAAATTTCGCTGTTATACAGAAGACAAACGGATGATCTCAATATGTTATCGTTTTACATTTCAGTATGCGATATTTTCTGCCGCATTTTGTATTTGCGTGAATTATTCAGAAGAACATATTAATAACTATATTAACAATAAATTAATAGAATACTATAATTTTAAAACGTCCCAGATTATAATTATAAAATAGCAAGAATTTAATTATGCGTCCGTAGAGAGACGCTAGAAGATAATAAAAGTTAATAGAAGAATAAACTTTTGGATAATAATATACTTACAAAGCCTGTGAATAGCGCTAATTTCGGTGCCATGCGCAGGTCTTCTCTTTTCGTGGCTGTATCTTGATCGGGCATCATTTTGTCCGCAATATGCTTATAGACTTTTCCATTCAGCATTAACGTAAAAAATAAAAAAGCCGTCGTACCATCTGACATCGTTATATATAATTGTCTTGGTATTATAATCAATTTTATAATAAGTGTTTTCTCTCCGATAGCATGAGCAAAATTAATTTTAGGAAATCTAAATTATTTTATCTTTTTCTGAAGATTAAATAAAAAAACGAAACTAAAAATCAAGTTCTTTTCAAATAATAGACAACTTGAATTAATTATTTGCTACACCGTATTACCATTAACAATGTTATGAAACTTATACAGGTTGTTGTCTAATGCAACATTTTTGGGAACACATTCGGCAACTTTTATTACATTTCACATAGAAGAGATTAGAAATACTAAAGAATTTCGAGATCTACCACAAGTGAATTTAATTAAGATAATGGAATTAATCGAGAAAAGTAAATTACTTGAAGTCAGTCAGCACTTGTCATTTTTTGTTACCATTTAAGACAGACAAGGAATTTACATTTGCAAATACAGAGTGTTTCTGAAAGAGTGCCCATTAATTACATAGCGCTACTTTTTGTCAAAAATTGAGTCGAAGAAATCTGAACTATTTTTTTTCTATAATGCATAATTCTAATGCATAATCTGTACAGCAGTAATTATTGACTAAAGTCAATTCAATTAGCACCATTCTTTATCCCAGCGTATACGCTCACTGACGTACTAATTCAGAATTTTTTAACTCAATTTTTGATAAGAAATAGCGTTATGTTATTACTGGGTATTTTTTAAGAAACACTGTATGAGAATTTATATTCAAATAAGTACTAATATAAAAGTTATAAGTTTCCTCAAGTCAAATACAGGTTAATTTAAAACAAAAGAAAATAAGAATTTGTATACAAACTTATGTTATTTGTAAATATTTCATTTATTTTTATCAGTACTATGTCTTATTAAAAATTTTGTTCTGTATATAGATTATTCTGAGTACATAAACATTATAGCGTATATCGGAGTCTTTAGCAACTACCTTTTTCAACGAAATATTAATTTTTCTTAAATTTAAGTTTGATTTTTGTTTTTCAATGTTTATTTGCGTTTTCGATATTGAAATTCATAATTATTCCTTAATATATATATAGAAAAAATAAATAAACTTATATTTTATTATTTATTGTTTTACCAATTTATTTATCTTTATTTCTAATTTAGAGACGTATACATATGATGTTGAGCGAGCTACATACACAGATGCTCGATTTAATAGAAATATACAATTCGATCTCCTGGAGATGAAAGAAAATAAATTCAACAAATTTGAGTTAAATTTAATAACTCATCTTGAAATGTAAACATTTTGTTGTATATGTAAATATTTTGAGATAATGAGTTATTAAATTTATTCTTAAATTTGAAAAAATAAAAATAAAACATGGTTTTTTTGATTAATTTTGTATCTCTTAATTGTTAATCTAGTCTCTAGCTGTGCTTCATTCGATATGAAATTGTATCGTCATTTTAGGAGAAGGTAATTCGAAAGTAAAGAATAAGACCAAATTGTGAGCAATAAAAGCTTTGCAAATTTATTTCCAAACAATAACAATATTGTTGAAATGTAATGTTGGAGCAGTCAGATAAAGCGAGAATGTATAATGTATCCTATATAGTTTATCTTTTCGCTAGCATATTTTAGAGATGCAATTAACAGTTATTGCATAAATAAGAAAATCGATACTTGTTAATTATAATTAAGTAATACCGTAATAATTATTATACGATAAAAGTGTACAAAACTTTAAAATAAAATTTTCTAATATTTTGAAGTCAATCTCACCATCAGCGAAAATAGTTGTGAGTTATAAAAGTTCTTCATATATAGATCTAGCATCTGATTATTTAATTCCTTTCGGCAACTGCAAATTTCATACAAAATATTTCACCGGAAGAAATATTGACTATTGAGCAATAGATTCATAGCAGGCATTGCGACCTTTTATCGATTTTCTTCTCAACGCTTATCATAACGAAACTTGATAGCTGTTCTCGGGACTTCTTTGGCAATCAATGATGTTGATTTCAAAATCAAGATGAGACCAAACGTAAGCTGCTATTTCACTGTGTTCGCGAACTTAGTCATAACAAACCAAATAGTAACATTTACTTCGTCAGTGAATAATTAACAGTATAAAGACTTTTTAATCAAACTTACTTTGACCAAAACCATACAATGATCGTACTGTCACAATAAAAAAGATTATAGTCAGTAGGGTCGATTTAAAAAGTTTTTATAGTCATATAACGATTCCGAGAAGCCAATAGATCTATAATATCGTTTCCGCTCGCTGTTGTCAAGAGTTCAAAGTTTCTGGTATATTTTTTGTTCATTTCGAGTATAAAAAATCGCGCGACTTTCTTACGTCGGTTAATCATCAGTCAATTAATTGTTGTCAGTCATTATCTACTTTCGGTCGCGAACAGTCTCCTGAGAAAGAAAATCGTCACTCATGTTTTGTTTATCTTTAATTAATTACAGTTGAAATATCACAATGTTGCATGTCACATCTCAAGTAAGTACGTGGGCTTCAAGTGCTTCGTTGTATAATGTATATATAAAATATATATACATATGTGATAACACGATAAAATTTTTACAGTGACATAATTTATGGAATTACGGAATATATAAATTTTCTCAAAAACTAACATTTTAAAATATCTAAAAAACATGACATTATTTATAGTCGTCAATAAATGATTGAAGGTATAAATTATTGTATATTGTTGAATTTATAGGCATCCGTTAAGTTTTTATTATCGATACTTATTATTAGTTGAGAATAAATCTTATATCACGTATGATTTAAATAGTTTTGGATTCAAATTCTCGTGATGGATTATAAGCGATATAATAAAGCGCTCGCGCATGAAAGATTCATTTGAATTAATAAATTCAGCCTTTTGATGAATTGTCCTCGTGAGAAGAAGCGTTTGCGACTAATATGCCAATCGAACATGGGGTACACGTACATGAAATGCCATACAAAAAATGGCCATCGATATTTCCTCCACTTTGCCTCAATTTTGATTGGTCGAGTTAGCGTTCCAGGAGATCGATCACGTATCTTTTTCCCTAGCGCGAAAACGTGAAAAGTGATAAGTTTTACACCATTGAACTTAATGGCGAAAATTTTCCCTTTTTACCTTTCCGCCCTAGAGATCTAGTTACTACATGATCGTTACTCTGAAAGAAACTCATACTGCTCGCAGTCTAGTATCTGTGGTGCTCACCGCCTGTGTTCCCACATGTTCTCTCTTTCTTGATTTTTCATTTTATACGGATAAATTAAATCTACTTCGCATAAACAGTGAGTATAATAATCGATTAGCTCTGCCGATTAATCTTTAATTTAGCTTTCTTCAAATTTCCGTTAATTTCCTTTATTCGCTGTATTCATATATGTTCGACTTAATCGCTATTATGCATATCGATATGTAAGATAAAAAATATATTATAAATAACATAAAAAATATACATTCTTGAAAATATTAGCCACTTAGAAAACGTAAGTGCAGCAAACATGAGCAATTTTTGCAATTTCTTTTGTTTTTTCTTTGTTACTAACGTGGTAAAAAAAAAGAACACGAAGCCACGTGCTCACGATATATCAAACTTAGAAAAAAAATGTTTCCATATTTTATTTAAGAAACTTTTTTAATGATATACATATATATGTTTTTACAAATTGGTTCATATTTTCAAACAATCTAGCACATTATTATCTAACCTTAATTTCTTTTTTCACGAGACAGACTGCTTGTGCTATACTTATTGCTAGAGCACGTGGCATACTAACACAGACAGTGCGCATATGCACACTAGTGGCTAGTTTCTTCCACATACTTCTATATACCACTAGATTGCTCATTTTGCAGCCATATTTGCTTCTAAGAATGGAGAATCTCATTGAATATTTTTTATACTAACACATATAG